CATTCAAAGATACTAGCGAAGCGGCTTCGACTGAACGTTCCTTACAAAATCCATGTTGTGAAGACGGAATAATGTTATTATGCTCTAGGTGGGCCGTGAGCCGACGCTTCATAATTTTCTCAAACGCTCTCGCAAATATTGAAGTTACACTAATGGGCCGATAGTTTTCACATTTATTGCACGGTGCCTTTTTAGGGACCGGTAGAATTATTGAACGCTTCCAACGAGAAAGAACTTCACCCCTCATATAAGACAGGTTGAAAAACTTCTCAAGCGGATAAAGAATGTAAACAAGAATCATTTTGATAAACTGGAGGGGGATATTATCAGGTGTGGCAGAGGAAGAGCATGGCCAGCTAGAAAGGACCTCGAATATTTCATCTTTATGAAACCAGATGGAAGGCTCCATGACTGGGCAAATGGGATGTAAATCCTGAGGAAGGTTCTGAGAAGGGAACTTGAAAGATTGGTGAAGCTTACGTGCCAGAAGCCCAGCTTTATCCCTATCACTAGTTGCAAAATGAGAATCATCGACCACAGAGAGGGTATTTTATTTTTCTCTTCTGTCCTAAAGGTGATGTACCTATGAATCTTGGAAGCGTCCTTGGATTTCGTAAACTTGTCCTCAATATTAGAAGAATATTTGATTCAGGCCTTCTCAGGCTTCCGGTTAGCAGACCTGTCCAAGTTGATTCATTGTTCAGTCTCACAGCAGTGTTCAATAACTTGGAACGGCGTGAGATCATGCGCACCAGATATGCAGATTGGTGAGGCGAACCGGATGATTTTGACGCGTAGGAACAAGCCTATTGATGACATCACCCAATATTGCAAGAAACCTTTCATATTCCTCATCCACTGAATCGACTAAGTCGAGCGAGCCGATCCAGTAGATCGCAGAAAGGTAGTCACCGATGGCTGCATGTTCGCATTCTTAAAGTCTCTGGATATGGAAAGAGGTGGTCGGGGCCCGGAGACGTTTAAGTGAAACGCGATCGCGGCATGATCACTGGTACCTAATGGAGGAAGGATTTTGGTTTTAGATAATAGCAAACGAGAATTTCAAAAAACAAGGTCAAGACAAGATTTGCCTCTGGTGGGACCGCGAACTAGTTGTATAAACCTATGAGACTGAGACATATCAACAAAAGCCTTAGAAATGAGATTTTCAGCATGGCTCTCTTCCCACGAAACATCGGGAGATTGAAATCACCGAGAACGATTGTGGGACCATTGAAGGAGCAATAATCACTCATGGCTTTAAGAAGCATAGTTGAACCTTGGACATTACATGAGGGGGTCCTATAAATCAGTATGAACCGAACAGGACAAGATTGAAAAAAAGCATCAAGGACCATGATTTCATATGCATCAGAAACTGATTCCTTGAAGACCAGATTGTAGGGGTTGGATTGTCTGATAAGTAGCAACACACCACCACCTTTTTGCCAATACGGTCACATCTTGCTTGGCTAAACTGCGTTCCTGCTACACCTAACAGAGGGCAGAGCTCAATACCACAAGTCAGCCACGATTACGTTAGAAAAACTAAGTCGTATTCATTTAGAAGCAGCATGGTAATCGCAGATTTATAGTTTTTAGAGAAAGATCGAACGTTCGACATTATGCAAGAAACTCTGAGCTCTGTAGGCCGAGGATGAATTAGTGGTTTGACTCATTTGCTGGTTGAGAACCCGAAATACAAGCCGAAACTGACTCGGCGTTATTAGGACCAGAAACATATGCACGAGGAAGCCTGGACAGACCCTCCTTACGCCTGCTTTCCCTTTTCTCGTTTGTCAAAGAGGGGCGAAGGAAAATACCTTTCTGGGAAAAGGATCGCAGGCGTGGGGCACGCTGCAATGTCAGTCTCTGAAACTTTGCAGAGGGCAGGACAACTTTTACAAGTCGAGGCTTATTCGGGAGGGGGACCCCCACACGATACACCATGGAAGGAAGACATTCAATACCTAGAAAATTGATAGTGGAGCATGTGCACGGTAATCATAATTTGCCATATCAACCAAATTGGGCGATTGATTCTCCATCATCCCAGCAATGACAATCGAGCAAGGTAGATCAGGATCCATAACGGGAGCAGGGCTCTTGGCAGGCAATGGATCAGCCTCGGAGCTGCATTGAATGGGCTGAGAAGACCGGGTAGACATAAATGAACTATTTAAGTTGTTTCTTAAAAGACTCATTTTCTTCTCTTAATGTTCTATTCTCAGAAATTGCATCACGACACTGTCGAGCTAACCGGCAAATTCTTTCATAGTATAAAGTAGAACTTCAAGGATTAACCTCACATAAGGCGGCAAAGTGGCATCAGCAAACGATTGTTTCAAACCTTCATCGCGGCGTTCCACTTGGGGAGATAGATCCAGTCGTGATCTCTTGAACGGCACCGAGGACGAACGGCGCGGCGTGGTAGCCATCAGAACAACAGACAAGAATACGAGGGCAGACCGCCTCGGCCTCCTCAGAAGCGATGATCAGGAAGAAAAACAGAAATATTGAAGGCGAGTCGACAAGTAACAGAAAATTAAAGTTAATGGGCCAAAATGGACGGCAGAGCTAGGGCACGGCTGACCGCTCGCGGCGCCTGATCAATGAGCAATGATAGCAGTTAACAAGAGTATCAAGTCAAAACAAATTCTCCCCGCAGACCGCTCTATCGATAGCCTGTGGGAGTACTGCTCCCTATTTACTTATTTATTTATTTCGCTTTTCGTGAAGACCTGTTCGTGACGCATGAACTTTTATATTCTTTATTTGATATCTGCTGTTGTTGCCGTTGCAAGCGGAGTCCGATTATATTACCAAAACGGTAGTGGTATGTAACCTAAGGAGAGGGATCATGTCAACACTATTATTTGCAGGAAGTGACATGAATTTTCTCATAATTCATCACAAAACAATCTCACCATATTGGATTCCATCTATACAAACCGCGTTGTAAATAATCTCAGACAAGTCGCAAGCGGGAGGAGTTTCTATGGGACGGGGCGTGTACGAAAGTATAAACACTGAGATCCCTACATGAAGCCGATATTAGCCCAGAAAGCTAAAATGGCCTTGTACGAACCTTTGCTCGACGAAGACCACCTCCACATGGAGCACTTCATGACCATGAAACACAAGAGCGATGTGACCCGTCTTCAACTCGATGAATTTACGTTTTTGGTGTCGGCTCACAACTTGAAACGACAATCGAGAGATTGTCATTTATTCAATACCTCTTGGAGGGATTCACCAGCTTAAAGCCTGCCTTGGAAAAATGGTCGAGCGTACCACCCCTCGTTCAGTCTAATTTTCTACAAACTTCAGGGAAACGAAGATTCGCACTAGAGCGGGCGCTGCCGGAAAGTGCTTTCTGAGTGTTTATGTATGTATAATCCAAGCCTCCAAAATGGGACTACAAGGGCAATGTCTTAGGCCCGCGCATGAAACAGTGTGTGGGGTCAGATGCGGGTATGCCACCAGCCTCACAACGCCCTGTTGTGCCGGCAAGAACTGCCCCTCTCACTAAGGAGAAAAAGTTTCAAACCCTCATCACACCATAATCAATTCTGCGCTAGCTGCCACGACGTTCTACACCGCTCCGTTCAACCACACTCCACTACGCCCAGCAGACCCACACCGCACTGCATCGACAAAAAGAAGAAGGAAAATCTCCAGTTAGATGTTTGCATTGATTGTTTGTAAATTATGTTGTTGACGTGGGGAATGTTCCCGCGACCTTTATTAAAGATATCTCTTTGTTGCAGTCCCAGATGTGGGCTGGCCGCCATAGTGCAGTCTGAACAGAGGAGGCCAACCAGGGAAGGATCCCAAGTCGAAGTGGCCATTTGAAATGAGACCTACACTGCTGGACGTGTTTTTGGATGCTGAGTTCAAATCTGC